TATTTCATTTTCAGTCATAAACAAGTCCTTTTTCTTCTTATATTCTTTTCTTTTTAGTTGGCTTTTGTATTTTTCTTTTTTTTTCTTGTTATTGTTTTTGACTTGTTGTTCAAGTTTTGATTCTTTGTTCCTCTCTTTTTCTAGAATAAGCTTGAGCCATTCATCTTCTTTTTCTCAAATTCTGTCCATCACTGCATCTCAACTATGTTCACAATCAAAGTCTACTTCTACCTAGTTGTTTTTATTCTTAAAAACTTCTTTAATTGTCTTAATATAATAGTTTTTGACCAGTATTCATTGCATATATTTTATTCTTTTATTGCTTGTTTTTTTAGGCAAGATGTATGCAAGCATATTTGTTTTAAAAAATATGTCCTTATTACATACTCTATTTTCTGGTAACCATTGGCTGTGTTCAATTGTGTTGATAAAGATTAGATCTTCATATGATATGTTTTCTTTTTTTAATTCTATTATTTTTTTGTCAATGTTTTCTATATTTTTCCTACATCTTGGATAATGCTATCTCTTGGAGCTTTTGTGTCCTTCTTTATTTTTTTTCTTCTTGTTTTTTCTGCTTCATTTAATTTGTTTATAAGAGTTTGATTTGTGCTTGATAAAGAACTTCTTTGTTGTATATCTTGTAATGTATTAATGTTAAGCTTCTTCATCTGGCTAATAACTTTATTTATCATTTGGATTGGTTTTCCTTGTAGTATTTCTTCTTTTGTTACATCTTAATATCTTTTTTTGTTATTGATGTTTGCATCTTTTTCATGCTATTAAGTTTCTCTATTCCTTCTATTTTCTCTCTTCTTTAAGTATTTCTTCTTTACTCATATTTGTAATATATTCAACTGACTTTGAGTTCTGATTCAACAGTTTAAGTCTTTGTGCCTATTCATTTATTATGTCTTCTTCAAGCCAGCTTGATTTTGCTAAACTCAAGGCTTTAAGAATTTGTCCATAAAATAGTACATCACTTAGTATAATATGGTTTGGGTTGTTTATTGCTAGATCTTTTGCTATATGCTCTATATTGCTTGGTTCTTTTGCAGGCATTGTTTGAATTTGATTTAACAATTTAGAATTTAAATATCTTCGATTTTTGTCACCTGCTCTCTTAATGTAGTACATAATATCTGTGTTAATAACCTGATTCATTTGATTTATTTGTTGGGTTTCTATCTTGTACAATTTCCTCTTTGAGTTGTCAATGTGCAATCTGTGTTATGCTACTATTTACTAATAGCTTATCTATCTATTTTCCAATTAGAAATGTGACTTTGTTGTTTGTTGTTGTTGTTTAATCAGTTCTATGTTTTCTTTTTGTTTTTCAGGATCAATCATAATTTCCAAACTTTCAAGTTTTATACTAAAAAAAAGAAAAATTTTTCTAAAAGCAAGTTTAGTTTGTTAGAAATATCTTTTTTGTTATTATACTTTTATTGTTGTTTATATATTTTTAAACATAAACTCTTTTTTTTTAAGGGTTCAATGACTGTTTTCTATTCTGTTTTAGTCATATTTTATGTTTTGTTTCTGCTCTGTTTTGGAATTAGAGAACAGTAAGAAGAGTGTTTTTTTTTTTTGTTATAGTTATTTTTAGTCTTTTTTAAAAGTATTTTCAATTATAAATTATAATTTCTGCTTTTGGTTCTAAGTCTTTAATTGCTTTTGTTTTTTTTTATTCTGCTTCTAATCTTGTATTTATTACTAATTTATAAAGCAGTTTTGCTGATATGTTAATTCATTTGTTTTTTTTATTCTAGACAGTACTTTATCTTTTTACAACTAACTTTTTCATTTTGTACTATTTTCTTACTTGATGTTTCTTTCTTTATCAAACTTTTAGTTTGTTATTTTATTTATTTTTATTATAAATTTTTACTTTAATTAACTTTATTTAAATGTTTTTTGTTTTAATAGGGTTTCTAATCTTTATTATTCATATTGTATTTTTCTTTCTAAGAATCTTATTTTTGTTTACTTGTTCTAAACTTTTATTAATATTTTTATTACAGCATTGCTATTTGTATATATTTCTATTTAGTTCTCTTTTAGTATTAATAATTTGCTATTTAGATTACTACTAATTTAGCTATTGTTAATGTTTGTTATATTTTTAAAACTAATACTACCTTCTCTTTTAGCTATTTTTATATTTCATCTATTTGAATCTATTCTATATTCATATTATTTTTAATTATTGTATCTTTTTTAACTTTTACATTTACTGTTATATATATATATTTTTTTTTGAACTTTGGTAACAATGTTAGTTGATTTATTAGCTTTAATTTTTGATATAGTACAAATTTATGATTACATTTTTAGGATCGATTATTACTAGTACTATATATTATCTAATTTTACACTACTGACTTCACCTGGTTATCTATATGACACCTAAGTGCATGTCTGCCATATGCTTGCATACAGTTATCTTAACAACCACTTGTGATCAGAGCATACCATTAAACTGTTATACAGACAAGAATACCTACTAAACTTAATATGGTATCCCAAATGCTAGGGGTACTGTCTTCTATAAATTATACCCATATGTTTCTCTCACATGTTTTATTTAATATTGTTTTTTCTGCCTCTTAATCTAACTATATCTAGTATTACCTTGTTTCTCATATTTCTCACTTTTTTGTTACTGTACTACTTCTAAATTGGTCCTATTTGGATATATTTGATCCTTATAATCTTTCTATTTTTGATATGCCTGTTATTGATTCTTCTAATATGTTTTAACAATAGCCCAGGATCTGCAAAGAACCTATATCTCAAGCCAGATCTGCTGCCATCATTGGTCTTTTTGACCAATCTGTATCTCAAGTCAGGTCTGCTGCCACTATTCTTGCAGATGCTCCAGGTTTTAACATCATACAATAATTCGATGCTACATTTAACCTTCAACATAGTGCTCTCTTCTATGGTGGAAACTGAGACTTGTTGTGCTTACAAACAGGACAATTCTAGTTATATCTAGAGAGTTCCTCTGACCCAGTGATACCATACTACCATATATTGCAAGCTTCTAGCTTATTCGATAATACCTGCAGGACAATCCTGGTTATGCTCTAGGGAGTTACACTGACCCTAGTGATATTATACTATCTTGCAGATCTGATCTCACATTGGTTATTTGATCCCTAGTCTTGTTTGTCATAAACTTCCATATAGGTATAACCAAAAATCCAATTTGGTACTTTTACATTGCACAAGGAAGTTATATACCAACCTTCAAGATTTTTCTCTTCTATAATTAGATTATTCAGCTGTGCCAGAGGTGCTTCCAATTTTTGGTTAGACCATTCTTTATCACAATCCATCCTCATGTTTACTGCTTCTCTCACTATTTTAGTTTTGGTTACTTTTAGAATACTTTCTTAATTAAATCCTCTTCTTGAATTCTAATTAAGACTTATTTGTATAATCTTTTGATTATCCTTCTAAGCAAATACCCTACAAGTTGGGTGTAAGGATGTTGGTACTGCTTATATTAGAAGGTATAAGAATGTTAGTGCTGCCCTAGCCTAAAGAACTTATATGCACAATCTTTTCATAATCATAGAGTTATTAATAGAGTGAAGTAGAGTGGGTTGGGTTAAAATTAAATAGGCAAGCCTTACTTTAACCCAACCCAGGTTATACTTTACTTTAGGTTATACTTCAGGTTATACTTCAGGTTATATTCCAGGTTATACTTTAGGTTATACTCCAGATTATATTCCAGATTATACTCCAAGTTATACTTCAGGTTATACTCCAGGTTATACTCTGGGTTATATACTTCAGGTTATACTCTGGGTTATACTCTGGGTTATACTTCAGGTTATACTTCAGGTTACATTCCAGGTTAGTGTTCAGGATATAAATATTATTATTTGATAAAAATTAGCCAAATGATTTTTTGGCTAATTCAATTTAAGTTTGTTTAGCATAATCAGTATTTTAAATGTGTTCTCAAGCAGTATGCTTGAAGTGATTTACTAGTAATTGAGATAGTGCTCAACCATTATGGTGTTATTAATTAGACCATTTTGAGAACCAATAGTATGATTATTGAAGACTGATAACATAGATGAAAATATTATTAAAATATCATTATTTATCATTTAGCAATTATTGTTTTTACAAATTGAAAAAAAAAATAATAATAGGTCAACGAAAAGATAAAGCAATCTATGACACTTTCAATTTCTGTTTTTTCTTTTTCAGGATTTACTATAAATTAACAGAACACAAAAACATGCCTTATTTATTAGCACAAAGATTTTAGCATAAATAAAAAGTAATAATTGTCGATGTTGACAATTATTTTGAAGATCTATAATAATAATGATAATTGAACAATTATTTTTTCTAATCAATCAATAAAAAATTTCAATCAATAAGCACAACTTTGTGATAAAAAAATGGATGTTTGGGCCTCTATCTCTTGTTCATTAGAATGATAAATACCCTTAATCAGTTAAACAAACTTTTGCTAATAAAATTTTTCTTTTTGACATATAAAACTTTTATCGTGTGTTTTATTAATTGGGATCAATACAATTGATTCATTAAACTATTTTCTTTTACTAATAAAAATTTACCCTCAGACCCATTCTGACAGATTGGTTAAAGTGCTTGAGAACATCCTAAGTATTAACTTTCAAAAAAACTTTTTCTAAAAGTATTCAAAAGAAATTTAAAATCAAATATATCATATTTATTTAGAAACTATAAGTAAATTGTCAATTTCGCTTTATTATAATCAACTTTACAAATTTTTTTTTTTTTTAAAAAAAAGCTTTATGAAGATATTCATTTGTGCATTGTAAAATATATATGTACATCTAATACATAAAAATATAAATATTATGATATATTAAATTATATATCTCCAACTTACTCTAATTCAAATTCAAATTTTATTCTGATTATGTCAACATCTTTATAACAAATGGATATACTAAAACAATTTATACATCATCTGGTTCATCCTATATAATATCATGATGTTCCTGTAAATGAGACATTAAGCTTAAAGTTGACTTCCTTACAATTTTTAGTTGTGTATTATATTTTTTACCTGAATCATTTAATATATTACAAATGCTAATATTATTATAATCAGATTTGCCAAAATATTTCCACACCTAGCTTGTTTTTTTTGATTCACTGTTGCGACCTAATCTTTCAGATATTTCATTTTCATTTGACCAGACCAATGGAGGAGATGGCAAATTGCTTTCTTCTATAATTTATATATAAAACTAGGGTTTAGCCTTATTGAAAAATAAATAAAGTGCAAGATTAAATATGTATTTATAATATTTCACTTAAATAAAGTATATTATAATTGGGTTAAACAATGATAACTGAAATATAATACAAGTAATAACCATTATTGTGTGCAAAAGACCCTTTATATTTTTTTACATTCTTAATATATCATTTATACTTATTAATACTTTCTTGAATTAGTAAAAGATAAGATCATTAACTATTTTATCTTTCACTGATTTTAACATTGTTTCAATTTTATGGGGATAGTGCATTAGGATTGTATCAATGACATATTATGAAATAACATGTTTTTGAAATTTGTGTATAATATTTAATATACAACATGTACTGCTTTTTTTGCTATACTACATAAGTGTAAATAATGCTCTGGGGTATTATTTTGAAATTCAGATACTTAGAGTCTCAAATTAGCACCCATGCGTGTTCTAAATTAATGTGCATTTATATAAAAAAAACAGTTTTTATGATATTACAAAATACAATATTATTATGTAATTATAGCCTCCTTCAGAGTCAACCATTTAACAATTACAAGTTCTAAAGTAATCAACGATATAAATTAAGAAAATTCTTTGTTCACCTAGGTGAACAAAGAATTTCCTTAATTTATATTGTTAATTACTTTAAAACTTGTAATTTTAAAATAGTTGGCTCTGGGAGGAGGCTATATTTATGTAATAAGTGACAGTTCCCTTATAATGTTATAGTGTCTTATATAACAACATAGCTTAGTTATCGGCTCACAGCTCTAAATAGCTTTACATAATATAAGCCAAGCTGTTAGTTAGCCAAACTGTTGATGAGCCAAGCTATTAATTAGCTCAGCTAAACCAATCAGCTAAACTGATCAGCTCACAGCTTAGCTGAGCCATTTTGCATTATTATGCATCACTAACCCAGATTACAACAAGTATCTAATATGTATTCCATTCAATTATATGACTTCACAAACATGCATATCTGTGAAGTCATGTGATAGTGTTAAATAGCAAGTTAAATAGTAGTAGGTTGAGTGCTATTCAAATTCGGAACCAGTTTTTAGATTTTATTCTGCAAGAGGCATATGCACATATTTTGGTTATAAAGATCTTATTTCAAAATGATATACATGTACTTACTCAAAATAAGTGCTAGTAGATGTTATATTTTGTACTTGTATTGTATAGTTTTAGGTTAGCATTTTTCCTACTATCTAGAAATTATTATTTATTCATATCAATTTGAAACTTTCTCTAGTCATGTTATTGATATATTCCAATATTTCAAATGCACAACCCCATAATTTAAAGACTGTGATCAAAATTTATAAAGACCTTTGCTTAAAAAATATTTGCAACAATAGTACTTTTTTTTTTTGAATTGCCAATACATTTTAAGTAAATCTACACATGGTATTGATTTTTATACAGGATAAATATCTAATTCAAAACCACAAAAAGAGTTTATTATTTACTCTATTGTAATGTTCGATCATTATCTCTAATTTTATAGTTTATCATGTATACTATATATGCATAATCTTGCATTCTTTATATAATGCTTTTCTTTAAATAAAACATAAACTTATAATTTGAATATCATTTAGCATCTGTACTGGTATATACTAAATTAAGAATAGCAGTAATGCAAATGAGTAATATATACTAGCTATAATTA